AAATTACCGGAATTCAACCGAAATTGTGCTTGATTTACTGTAACAGTATCAGGGCAATAAACGATATTCACATTTTCAGCCGCCTGGCTTGTGTTTTCGTCCTTATCGAAGAAAAACTGAAAAATATCTTTGACGCTCGCTCAAGTGAAACTTATTGAAACCAATCACTAAACTGTCTGAAAATATTTTTTAGTACGAAATGTGATCTTTCTAATGCTATCTAGCGGAGCCCGACCGGACTTAGATAAATAACACCATCTATTAGAAAAAATAATGGATTGCTTTTTACTACACCAATATATGTACATACAAAATCTCTTTAAGAATAAATAAAATTTATGGTTTGAATATTTTTAATAGTTTACTTTCATAACCTAACCATGGCTATCTATGAGTATATCCATATCCATATTCATCTCCATATCCATACATCTATATCCATATTCATGTATGACCATATTCACATTCATAACTATATCCCTATACGAGTACATTCACATCTTTATTTATATCCATACCCATACCCATTATCATTATTTTTCCCTATTCATGCCCACATCTATAAATATTTTTATCCATTACTGAACCCCTATCAATATCCACCTTCATTTCTACCTCCATACCCGCATCTACATCCGCTTCCATATTTATATCCACATTCATATATATTCCTAAATATTAATATCAGTCTTCATACCAGTTTTAATATCATATTAATATCATTTACCATATTCATATCCATCCACAACTAAAGCCATAGCCTATCCATCTCCTTTCCTTGTCCATATCCATATCTAAATTCATATCCACTACAATATCCGTATCAGTTTTTATCTTTACCCACATCCTTATTGATATCTCTACTCTAAGTCATTAACTCATTCTTGATATCTTAATATATTTTTGTATATAATAATATAAAAATTTATAGACATCTTCATATCCAGATTCACATTCATATTCATATCCACAGCGACATTACTTTCATACTCGTACTTATATTCAGATTCTCATCTCCGACCATATACACACTTTCTAAGTGGGTGGGGGAGAATGTAGAATATATTGAGGTTGAGCACTAGGCATGGATGGGAAGACGCAATCAGATCAGATACTCAAATGCAAGCGATTCTCAAATAACAGGAAGCAATTAGCCAGCGCCCAAAGCTAAGCATGGACTTACGCTCCTCGCGTAAACTCAGACATTTTCGGTAAATGTAAAACTCATCTCACCCTACTTTTCTCTCTCTTAACCTCTCCCATGTTTAGTTAAATGAGTTAAATGAAATTCCATACCCTTATTACTACTAGAATATGCTGGCGTATTTTTTTGCGTAATTTTCGAAATGATTTCGAAAGCCTTAAGTCAATGAAATCATTTTTATTACCAGAAAAAAAAAATTGCATAATATTTTAGCGAAGAATGTTGAAAAGTGAATACCTCTTTTGCGAGCCGGAAAGTAGATATTTACTTTAGAAAGCCAAACGTTGGTTTCTTAAACGCTAACAATACAAAGTTAGGCAAGTAGGATTGACTCTATCAGTCTAGGCAGCAGCTAGCAACGTCTTGCCTGTTTAATGCTATCGTAAATCGCACTTAACGCAAAACTCATAAATACATAAATATATATGTTTGTATATATGTGCACATGTCAACGACACATTAACCTAATTTTTGTTAGAAACAAAAAAAAATTAAATGAAAGAATAAAAAACAGAATGAATGAACAAAGACTGTGCTTTGTTTTATTATTTCATTTTAATGTTTAGTATTTTTTTTTCTCTTCTAAGCAAGCTTTTAAGCTTGAGTGCTCGCGCAGCACTTCAAATCTGCTCTTAAGTACACACAAAATAGCTGTAGAGTTTCGAAAATTTCACCATTCAGTTTCACTTGGACACAATTAGAATTTCATTACGGTCACTCGGCAGGAAAGCGGCAAATGCCTGCGTGGCGCTTCTAGAGTGTGTTTTTAATGAATGCCAGTGGTTGAATGACTGACTTGATGACAGTGATTTGCAATAAGCTCATCTGATGCTTTGCCATTAAGCGTAGCGGAGAGAAGGGTGGATGGTACTTTTTAGATTATCATTTATTTTTTTTACGAATGACTGGAAGAGCAGTAGCAAACAATAAATAATTTCTGCACTTTACTGTACTTGTAAATAATTTACTTTTAAAAATATTAATTAATTTATTTATTGCAAATATTATTTGTAAAAAAATTTCAAATGAACCTGCGCAAAAAGCTTTTGAATTCAACATTTTTGTATTAATTACTTTTTTCTGTTTTTTATATTTTTTCTGCCAGCTGATTTTCGTCCATTTGTCTTTTGACTTTACTTTGTTTCGCCTTTTGTAATACACTTCTACTAATGATGGCAATTTTCAACATTTGCTGCACGCCCTCCTTTCACTGGAAAATATAAAAAATAAAAAATGAAGCAAACTATTTCATAGCACCTGCAAAAATATTTAATGACCATATGTACATATGTAAGTTGATTTGTATATGAACTGAAAAATTTATAGGGCAAGTAATTTTGAGTTTACATACGCATATTTGAACAAGCTGGAGTAAGCTTTATTTCTGTGGTCAAAACTTCAGTGATTTGGATTTAGGCTCTTTCCATTTAAACCACTCGTAACAGATGAAGGTCTGACTTATGTCAAGTAAGCCTAAGGAGAATGGGTACTCGGTAGGAGTCAGAAATTTCAATGTCTTTTAAATTTTTTCTCTTCGGAAAATTTCATAATATTATATTTAGTATTTAGTTATAAAAGAATTATAATTACAAAAATCTAGAACACCGACTTACTTAACTAAAGTTACATTTATTATTGGACAACGCCCATAATTTTTGTAATTTATTTTCTGGTTTCGTATTTATTCAAATTTGTAGCTCTTCGTCATTATGTTATTTATTGTTTTCTAGTTCATCGTTAAGTGCTGCAATGTAGGTCTGTGAAAAAATGCGGATTGCGGTTAAATCGTCTTACGTAATGCTAGACAAAATTTATGTATTGAAATTGCAAACTTGTGAAAAAATTAACAAAATACATAAAATAAAATAAAAAAGGCTAAAGTAACTTTAGCAGGTTCAAATTAAAAAAAAAATATAATAAAAACATATTTAAAAAAAATATAATAATTAATTAATAATAAAAACTAAAGTCAATATCAAATACAAATCACCTAAATTAAATTAAATAAAATTTAACTGAAATAATTAAATTTAATTAAATAAAATAAGATTCAAATGTTAAAATTAAGATTAAAAATAAAAAGTAAGTTGAAATGAATTAAAATAAACTAAACTAAAATAAAATTAAGTAAAATAAAATAAAATAAAAAATAAAATATATCAAAATAAAAAAAAATATAAAATAAAATAAAAGAAAGTAGAACAAGATAAGACAAAATAAAATATTAAAATAAAATAATATAAAATAATTGAAGAAAAACAATTAAAATAGATTAGAATAAAGTAAAGTAAAGTAAATAAAAACAAAATAAAATAAACCTAAAAAATTAAAATAAAAAGAACAAAATAAATACAAACAAAATAATTTATATAAAATAAAATAAAAGAAATAAAAAAAATAAATAAAATAAACTAAAAAAAATTAAAATTATAAAAAAATTAAATAAAATGAAATAAAATAATTTAAATGATTAAAAATTCAATAAAGAAATATAAGAAAATAAAATATATATAATTAAATTAGAATACAATAAAACAAAATAAAAAAAATTAAAATAATATAAACTAAAATTAAACAAAAAAGCTAAGAAAATATAATAACAAAAAATAAAAATTTAAAAGAAATTAAATGAAACGAAATAAATTAAAATAAAATAGTATGATATGATATAAAATAATTTAAAAAAATAAAATAAAATAAAATTAAATAAAGTTTAATTTAAAATAAAATAAAATAAATTAGAAAAAGAAATAAAAAAGACTAAAATAAATTAGAATAAAATAAAACAAAATAAAGAAAAATATAAGTAAATTAAATAAAATGAAATAAAAAAAAATTAAAATAAAAATATTAAATAAAATAAAATAAAGTTAAATTAAATTAAATTGAATTAAAATAAATTGTGTAAAATAAAATAAATTAAATGAATGTCAACCCCTCCCAGTGTATTTTTGGCATGAAATAAAGCTCCTTATAAGAAAAACCATCAGCCGTTCGAAGTTGGCTTGGTATAAACTATGGGTCCTTCCATCTGTTGGGAAAACTTCAAGACGCAAAAATAGCAAATTAAAGGAAGAGCTCGGTCGAAAAATCGCTTCAGCGCCAATTGTAAAAAAATTAAAGAAATAAATTAAATAAAAAAAATTATTATGTATATACGATTTTAAAAATAATATATTTAATAAATGCAAATTGAAAAGCTGAAAAGGGTAAATAAAATAAATTAAAATAAAATAAAAGTAAGTAAAATTAAATAAAAAAATTAATTAAGTAAAACAAGATGACATAAAATGGAATAAAATAAAATAAAATAAAAGCAAATTAAATGAAATGAAATTATTATGCCATACATTTTTTTAATTGAATGAATTTAAATTAAATAAAAAATAAATAAATTAAATTGAGTTTAGTAACAATATATTTAATTTGAGTGAAGAGCCCGAAAATCCCGAGCCTAGAGCAGAAAACGGTTCTTTTGTTCAAAACTGCCTTTTTTCTTAAACATTTTGATACCACTTTCGTAGAATGTTTAATAAATATCTTGTATCAAAGTAGGACTGGGTTTCAACGATTACTTCTACATTCGAAGGATAGTACTTTATTAGATAAGATGGTTTTTAGGGGGTTTACGAACAGCCAGTAGTCGTTGAGCCGAATATATTGTATAAGATCTATAGGGCAATTCATGTAGTCTTGCCATTGATTTGATTGACTACCGACAAGGTGCATTGCCTTGATAAATATTACATTGCACAATGAAATTAACTTCAATTAAAATATGTTTACTTTCTTTCAGATAGCGGAATCTAACTAACACATGAATAGTTATTCCAATCTATTAAGAAATCGACTTGGATTCGCGAATTCACCAGATCAACTGGTGAGTAAAGCTGAATAATAAACGCATAACCTAAGAAACCGCCTCACGATGACAACAAAATCGGCAGCAGTGACACTGGGCATTAGTGGTCGCATTAGTAGTAACAAAACTAGCAACAGCACCACCTCTTTCCCCACTCGTCATGCCCACATAACACAGTCATCGCCAACTACTGCCAAACGTGGACATATCCGGTCCGCATCGTTGGAGAATAGCAATACCTTCAACGCAAAAAACACGCTCGGCTTGCCAACGACTATTGGGGTGGGACAACAACAAAGTCAACAACTACAACAGCAACATACAACAGTAGTGAGTCACACCGGCACGCTAAAGTCGCGCAATGAACAAAAGCGCATGCGCGGACAGAAGTTTGGCAGTCACAGCAGTTTGGATCAGGACGCATTGCCCAGTTCGGGACGAACCAAATTCCAAAATATACGTCAAATATTTGAGATAACCAAAAAACGTACTTTCGGTGGAGGGGGTGGTGGCAGCACAGCAACTGTAGCTGAGAAGTTGAGTGCCACCAATCAAGGTGTTGAACATAACAGTAAGACTTCATGTGATGACACACAACGCTTGCACTCGTTGCCGCCTGCCATGTCAGCGAGTGTTATGAGTAACGCCGTTGCAGTTACCTCCTCATCTTCAGCCACCACCTCCTCCTTCACGGCTCCGCCATTGATGACAACCTCAATGCCGAGCCTACAACTGCGTCAACAGACGGCACAACAGTCATTGCAACAGCAACAATTATTAGCTTATCCACAAAATCAACAATTGGTGCGTAAGCCAACGCCAACGCTGATGGGCGGCAACGGAAGCGGAAATCGTAGTAGTTACTCGGAAATGATAGATCGGCTGAGTATTTCGGAGGGTGTGGGCGCTGACAATGTGCATGGAGGTGGTGGATGTATGTCTGGGACTTTCAACAGTGTCGGTGGCAGTGCAATGAATTCTAAGCAAAAATTACGTCTACAACAACAATTACAGCAACAACAACAGTTGGTGCAACAACAACATGAATTGCAGCAACAACACCACTTGCAGGCACAAAGGCACCATTCACAGCCGGCAATGGGTCAACAGGCGCACCCACAGCACCAGCCACTAATGCAACAACAACAACAACAACGCCAGCAAATACAACAAATGCAATATCAGAAACAGCAGCAGCTGCAGCTTAATTCCAGCAGTAAAACACACTTGCCACACATCACAACTGCTACGGGACAAATGTCAGCAACAACAAAAACCACGACAACATCAATATCAACATTGAATGACAGCGGAGAAACCAGCGAGCAGGTTTGTAACTAGATTTCCCACCTAGAAACATTCATACACATATTAACACTCCGCCAAATTTCGCTTATTTCAAGGAATTGTGTCGCACAGTGGGGTTAAGAATGGTTTACTGCATTTTGTTTTATTACATTTTCTTGTTTCGGTTTATTTCATTTTATTTTCATTAGTTTCATTTAATTTAATTAAAATTTTATTTTCTTATATTATTTCTATTTATTTACGTTTAATTTATTTAATTTTTTCTATTTTGATTTATTTAATTTAAATTAATTTATTATACCCAAAATTTTTATTTTTTGTTTTTATTTAATTTTATATTTATCAACTTTATTTATTTGAGTTCTTACATTTTATTTTATTTTCACTTCTTTATTTTGTTTAAGTTCTTTCATTTCATCTTATTTTTTTCAATTTATTTTATTTTGTTTTCTATTTTTTGTTTAATTTTATTTTAATTAATTAATTTTATACAATATTATATTTTATTCAAGTTTATATTATTTTATTTTAATATCCTTCCATTTATATTATTTTGTTTTATTTTATTTTATTTCATTTTATTGGATTTAATTTTATTTAATCTAATTTTATTCTATTTTCATTATTTAGAGTTTAGTTAAATTTTTTTTTTCATTTTTAAAACCTTTTAATATTATTTTGTTTCATTTGCTATTTTTGATTTAGCTTTATTTATTTAATTGAGTACCTTTACTTTTTATATTTTATTTTATTTAGTTTAATTTAATTTCACTTTATGTTATTTTTTCTTTTTCTTATATTTTTATTTAATGTATTAATTTCTATAATATTATTTCCTTTTAATTAATTTTAAGTTATATAATTTTATTTTATTAATTTTTGTTTTGTTTATATATATTTATTTTTATTTTGTTTTATGTTTTTTTTGTGATTTTATTTTCATATATTTTTTTTTTATTTTTTCATTTTATTTTATTTTTTTTTATTAATTTTATTTTAATTTCCTTATATTATATTTTATTTCCGTTAATATTAGTTTATTTTAATAACTTTCCATTTATTTTATTTTGTTTTATATTTTTTTAATTTTGTTGAATCTAATTTTATTTTATTTTCATTAGGTTAATTTAATTTAATTTTGTTTTAAAAATTCTTTAATATTATTTTTTTTTTTTAATGTATTTCATTTTGTTTCATTTAATTCAAAACTGTTTAAAAACGATTTAATTTAATTTAAAAAAAACTTTTAACGTTATTTTATTTACTTCAATTTAATTTAAAACAATTTAATATTATTTAATTTTAATTTATTTTAATTTATTAGCTTTTTAATATTATTTTATATGTTTTCATTTATTTTGTTTACTACTTACAGTTTCTTATTTTATTTTACTTAGTTTCATTTAATTTAAAAAAATTAATTAGTTTCTTTTTTTTTGGTTTATTTTTTATTTAATTGTATTTACTTTAATTTTATTGATTTTCGTTTATTTCATTTGTCTCATATCTTTTTATCTAATTTAATTTCCTTTTATTTAATTTAATTTACTTTGAATTATGTTAAGTGTCATATTTATTTTATTACTTTTTTTTAATTTTATTTAGATTTATTATTATTTTTTATATATTTTTTCTTTTATTAATTTTTTTCTTCTCTTCTTTTATTCTATTTTGTTTTACATAAACTTCGTTAAGTTCCATTTTTAACCTGTTAGGTTATTATCTATCCTCCACTGTGCGTCAGTGGTATTATGCGGTGAGCAAATAAAAAATCTTGGGTGTGTCAGTGTCAATACATCAACATTAGCCTCCGCTACAGTGAAAAGAGCCGTCTCATTCATGGCCGTTCCCAGTTGCACTGATCAATCGACTGAGCGCTGTTGTTGTTCTCTTTTTTTTGTTGTTATTGACAGTCGGTTGGTGGGTCGTTCGGTCGTCTGTTCATTCAATCGCTTCAATCATGCATGTGCTCAACACCATTTATCTATGGATTTTACAGCTTTTGCTTAGTCATTTTCCTTCGCCAAGTCCGAACCATAGAAACTAATACCTTTTTTCTCTATATTTTTCTCTCCCAACACAGCCAAAGACATCACCAGCAACAGCACCAAACACTTCAGCCACGGGTACTATACCGACAACCACATCCATGATGACGTCATATGAGAATCTTTTGCGTCCCATCGCATTCAAGCCAATCCCCTTCGAGCCGGACTTTAGCATACAGCAGCAGCAGCAGCAACAACAACAACAACAACAAAATGGGTCACATTATATTGGCCACGATGTTGCTGTTACTGCAGCGCCAGCGCCAACGACAACGACAACTGCAACAACTATGCCGACGTCTTCGGTTATTGTGGGCGATCGTTACGGCTCGACGCCATCACTTGCAGCAGTTCAGGGTTCGAATAATATGCGTTTTGGCAGTAAGTAATTAATGATGTGTCGAAACTGCGACTATTGACTATTGATTGGTGATGGTTTCGCTCGTTGATGGGTATTTGCTAATGTTCATGCGCCTACTATTTCTTTGTTTGAGCTGAGCTGAGCTGAGCAAGAGCTTAAGCTGGGTGTGTTTGTGGGAATTGAAACAAAAGTGGCATCAAGTATTGCGGTTGGATTTTTATATAACTTCATGTGATTAAGTAAATTATAGAAATAAGTTTCGGGAAGCTGTTAGATATATATGTATGCTCAAAAGTAAAAAAACTTGTCTCAAGAAGCCAGTCGGTGTCGCAGCGTGATTTTATGGTTAGACCACCATATATTTTCCAATAGAATATCTAGATGAATTGTAATATTTCGGGTCTGCGGACCTGCCTAGAGCTATAAGATTTATATTTTCATTGAAAAGTTTGACATATTGTATTGTACCATAGATGCACCCATAACGATGTCATAACACTAAATTTGGTCCTAGATTTTATTTAGTTAGTCTATAGATGATTGGTATAGTACTAAATCTCACTTAGTCAATTAAAGGAATATGAGTTAATTTATGGAATACCTAAAATACATATAAACCTTTTATTCACAAGGAGCAGCGATAGACCCATAAATTTATAACGATGGTGCATTTTTAAACCATCATTTGTCAAAGCCGTGCAGATCAGTCCACTTTAGCATAAGGTCAACTAGAAACTCCCCGGCCTACCATAGTAAAATACATTTTTTGCTTTTGAGCATAGTTCCCTACAAGAGTGGTGTACTGATTATAATGACCCTCCAACATTTTGGCACCATTTTTTAAAAGAAGCCTCACCTCGACTTCAACTGTATTTTTCTAAGAGTTGCCCCTCTCAATATGCAACAATTTAGAAAATAATTATCCGACAGATGACAAATTTATAACGCGCCTTTTGAAGTTTAGTGCTAATCGAAGATTTTGTAGATTTAAATATAATAAAGTCATCTTTGTGTCAGGCCTAGAGCTTACAAATTATATACGATCGATTTTTCTGATTTGTGATTATGGGTCATGAATTTATCAAGAAAACATCTAAAAACGTGAAATTTTTTGTAGAAAACTATGAAAATAGGGTATCTATAGCATATAGCTTCCATACACATATATTTCCAGATATATATGTGGCTTTGGTCAAAACTCTGTCAAAGAAACATCGAAGAGTTGGAGACTTCATCATTTGGTCCCGTGCAACAAAGTTTTCAGACATGAGTATTAAAACAGGCCTTCTCTTTAGCATAAAATTAAACCATTTGCAAAAGTTAGGTTATGTAAGGTTGTGGTCGCTATCGAACTTTAGCATCGATTGCAACTAGATCGAAATTGGATCCATTGTCTTGCCACAAAAACTTGCGCATTAGGCTGTGCGATCCAACTATTTCGAATTTCATTCGAATGTTGACAGTGAAGTCGCACAGAGGTTCCAAAAGCCAAAAAAAAGTGTCAAAAATTCGAAAAAATTCATAAATGTTTGAAAAAATCGTACTCGAGGATTTGAGAGGTCGCTGATTATGACCATCTAGCAGTGGGATTCCAAAATTCTGAACTGTAGGCACTGCCCAAAGCAGGACAACCACGTAAAAGATGGTTCTTCTTATCATGGTTTTTACCAGAGAAGCTGACTCAAGATGGCTGTACGAGATCACGTGTAGCGTGACCAAACAGCTATGGCCGAAGCTAGACGCGAAAATAATCCAAACATCTCATCCTTCTACACCGGTACTCGATTAGCATAACGACGGGCATAATAACTGGACGCTGATGAAAGGTGCTTCATGGAAAAAGAATAGGATATCATTCTAATGATTTCTGCGCTGATGTAGGGACGAAGAAGAGGAGGAGACCATCGAGCACTACCTCTGTCACTGTACAGCCCTGACATCTGCGCGAAACAAGTTTCTTGGGAAACACTTCTACGACTGTCTCGCTGAGTTGGCCTAAGTGAACATTGGAAATCTTGTCGCCTTTACAAGGCGAACTAAATGGTTCGATCATCGGAGAAGGGAAGGCTGGAGCCTCAGCGGTATCACAATGGGAACATTGGCCAAATTGTGCTGGTAGCAGCAGTCGCATCAACTCTCAACTCATCATCATGCTTATAGCTTCTACAGCATCTGTTTCTACATGCCATTCTATCAGACAACGTCCCGTCAGGACTCATATTACCTTCAAAATAACCTCGCTTTTTAAGTAGTAAATATCACGTGAGTTCTCCCAATCCAAATTTGGTCAGGTTTGCCTGGGTTTGTGACAAAACGCAGTTTCATATGTAAATTTCGTGGAAAGCAGCTTGCAAATGGCAAAAAGCACACTAATGTCTTCTTTACCGAAAACCATCTGCTTAGTCGTACTTTGCCTTAGTTTTGCACTCGATGTCCCTATGACAAGAAAACCACGTTAGAGACAGTATGTTCTATTTGGCCATCTCCTGTAGAGTTCGGCGACAGTTCAGCACAATTTAAAATTTAGTGTAAGCGAGCTTAGTGCTTTTATTGGTGAAAATGAAAATGTTTTTAGCGATTTTCGGCTGAGTTGCTCCTTCGTATGAATAATTTTCCAGAAAATGTCGGGATCTAAGGGCCTCTGAATGGCCGATGGATTTGTAAGAGAAGCTTGAATTTCCTGTCCGAAATGCACGCAATACCACCCACTCAGCTACTGTGAAGCAGATATTTTCGTATGAAAGACAGCCAGCCCGCGGAAAAGTTCCAATTGGAGGGCTCAATGCACCACAGCCAACTCTACCCCTCCTTTCAAAGCAATAATGGGCACCAAAACCCCAACAGCTCTTCTGCAATTGCATTGAAGCCTGAACCTGGGCATGGAGTTACAGCTCTGAAGGCTTAGTTCGATTTCACTTTCATACTCGTATTTTAATTCCTCACTTTCGATTAAGCAAAGTGCGCTAAGGCCACAGTATATATATAAACGAGTATGTATTATATGTATGTACTTATGTTAGAAGTTGCTCAGCTGTTAATAATGCTCATGCATCACTGCACAAATACTATTCGTTATGACTGTATATAGGAAGGTATGTATGTTTATATGTTTATATGTTGGTAATTAAAAATATTTCTGGGTAAAAACTGAATCGAAATATTGGTGCGGTGCATGAGGTACTCTTCGTAGTTTTAATTATTTTAGTGTCAGATACTTTGTACTTTGTTGAAGCTTTCAAATGCTCTTAATAGACATATATACAAATGTATGTATGTATGCATGTACAAGCGAGCGTTCATTTCGAAATAAATATTGCAAATGTATTTCATTAATTATTGCTCCACAAATGCGAAGCAAAACTTTCTGAAAGCTTATTCTTCTTCTTCTCCCTCGTTTTTATCGTTTGCAGGCACGTCCGATTTGCGACATGGCAGCGCTGGCGTAGGCGGGGGCGGTGGTGTCAGCGTTGGTGGCAACATTCACGGAATCGGCGGGGCAGTGACCGCCGGCGGCGGTATACTTGGCGGCATTAATTGCGGCGCTTATTCAAGCAATAATTATTGCAACAGTCTGATGGCTCGTCGTCGTGGTTCCAGATTGTTGAAAATCAACGATAGCATGGAATCGATTCGGCATACACCGGATTCGGATGCGAATAGTCAAAGTAGCACAATGTAAGCAGCGGAAATTTTAATCAGAATTGAAAGTTACATGAAAATTAAATAAAAAGAAATAAAAATAAAAGAAAAAATTTATAAATAAACAAAAAAAAAAGAAAAAGAAAAAAACAAATAACAGAAAAAAATAAAAGAAACAAAAATAAAAAATTGAAACAAATAAAAAAAATAAAAGAAAACAAGATAATTAAAAAAATTAAAGGAATAAAAAAACTTGAGAAGATGAAAAAAATAAATAAAAAATAAAAGCAAATAAAACATACAAAAATAAATAATTAAATTAAAAAAAAAAATTAATAATAACAAATAACCGAAAAAAGAAAAAAATAAATATCCGAATAAAATAAAAGAATAAAAGAAGTAAAAATGGATAACTGCATAAAAGAAAAGAAATAAAAATAATAATAAAAAATAGGAGAAATAAAAATATTTAATTAAAAAAATAAAATAAATAAATATATATAATTGAAACAAAAAAATAATTGATGAAAAAAATAAAAATTAATAATAAAGGATAAAAACTAAAGAAATTAAAATAAATAATTTAAAATCGGAAAAAAATAATACAAGAAATAAAAAAATTACAACAAATAATTGAAAAAAGTAAAAATAATACAAGAAATAAAAATATATAATTGAAAAAGAAGTCAAAAAGAAAAATAAATAAAAATAAATACTTAAAAAAAAAAAATTATAACTAAATAAAAAAATAATAGTAATAATTTATATAAAAATAAAAAAATAAAAAAGCAAATAATGGAAAAAAATAAAAGAAATAAAAATGTATAATTAAAACAAATAACAAAACAAAAATTAAAGGAAAAAATGGTAATTAAAAAAAACAAAGGAATAAAAATATATAATTAAAAAAATTAAAGAAATAAAATTAAAAAATTTATAATAAAAGCAAATAATAAAATATAATAATATAATAATATATAATAAAAACATAAAAAATTAAAGTCAAAAAATAAAAAAATTCTGTAAAAGATGAAAAAAAATTAAAAAACATATAATTAAATTAAAAAAAATTAGAGAAATAAAAATAACTAATTAAACAATAAAAAAAATAAATAAATTGAAAAAGAAATTAAAAAAATTAAAATAAAATAAAAAATAAAAATGAAAATTAAAATTAGAAACAGAATGAGTAAAAAAATAAAAATAAAAAATGTAAAAGAATTGGAAAAAATTTAAACGAAAAATTGAAAAACAAATAAAAGCAAAAAATTGAATATCTAAAAAATAATTAAAATAGAAATCGAAAATTAGAAACTTTTATGCATACAGCTATCTGTGTATGTATGTAATTTAACTCATCGTTTTATTGGCATTTTCACAGTAAATCCACTGGTAGTAGCAGTCTCACTAACAACATGAACAACAACAACAACAACAACAACGTCAACAATAACAATGGTTTTGCTGGTGCAAATGGTTTTAGTTGTAACGTCAGCGTGGGCAGCAGCAACACACTTGGCAGTGGCAATTCGAACGGCAGCAATAGCTGTAGCAAATATCACCTCTTAAGCGGTGAACAGTGCGACATGACACCCTCGCCATCCGATTCGGGCATATCAGATTTAGAAGCCGCACTGAAGGATCGCGATTCGGAACTCTCGTATCTACGTCAAACAATGGAACACAATGAGAAAGTAATATTCCGTGTACAAAAGGTTTTAATGCATTTTGCAACCAATTACACACATGCACACATACACACCGCTAATACACATTCAAATTCTATAATGACTAATTCGGGATATTTTCGTTTTTTTTTTATTTTGATTTTGATTTTGTAGGATAAGGAGAACTTCTGGGAACAGGAGACGAAACGTTTGAAGACATTCTATGAGGCGCAACAACGGGAATATCTGTTGAAAATGAAGAAAATGGAACAAATGTTGGCCATGCAACAATTCCAATTCAAACAGCATAAGCTGCGGCATACAGAGCAATCGAATAAGTTGAGGGAACAGGTGGCCGATTTGAAGAATGAAAATGAAATCTTGAGGTGAGTGATTTTTTTTTTAATTTTTTCGTGCATTAAAAGTTGAATTATCGTGGGGAAGACAAAGAAATAATCGGACACTAAAGTTTAAATAGAATTACTAGTATCTCATCTGAGACTTTCAAATAGTCTGCTTAAGTTGTGAAGAGAGTAAGAAGAAATTGTGACTTGTCTCCGGGAAGGGGTAATAGGTGTAGATTTCTAAAGCTGAGGAGAGGCGATGCTTAAAAATGGAAATGTATTAGTTTTGTAGCGAAATTCAGGACATTTTGGCATGAAACCCAAGTTGCCATGTGACATGTGCTGATACCTTCGCCTTTGACGCCTCTATTCCAAAGTTTAGTTAGATCCAGCCGAAATCGCCCGGCTTATCCTTCACTATATACAAAAAGATCAGGAGAACATGCATTTCGATAGACATATTACATCATAGAATTTTCAAATTGTCCAGCATGTTGTTGACAATTTCGCAGTATGCCATAGTGGAGGCTCATTTTGCTTCACCGCATAACCTAACTACACTTTCGCAAACATATCGCTCGATTTAATAAGCTGGTTTGATTTCTGCCAACCATAGGTGACAACCTCGGTAAGGTTGGATATGGGGGCATCACACTAAACCGAATGCAGGCCGGACTCTCTCTCTCTCTCTCTCTCAATTCGTGATCACTCAGCTGATTATAATTTATCTAGTTTATAGGGTTAGAGGCCCCGTCAATATACCCACAATACCTACGCGTGGGTGATGAGCTGTTGATGCCACTGCAATACCGGCAACTTGTCTAAAGTTCCTTAGGGTTATAGAGCAAAAAGTTCAGCCGGAACTTACTTAGATGTCTCGTTTATAGTGAAAAATCCAATTAACAACTTTCTCACCATTTTCAGGAGCACCAACGGCAGTCTGAAGAACTCGGAGCGCAATCTAAAAGACAGTGTTGCCTATATCGAAGAACAACTGCGCGAATCGGAGAATACCATCGTTGGTTTAAGAGCACAGTTAGAGGAGAGTGAATGGAAAGTTTGTGAACGCAATGGCGAGCTCGCTCTCCTAAAATCCCAACTCAAAGAGGCTAACGTGAGTGAATTATCTATGCAAATATACAAATACAATATAAAAATGAATTCCTCAATAATCCATTTCCCTCCACAGGTCGAAATCACGCTGAAAGAGCACGCTATTGTGCATCTGCGTCATGAGAACACCAATGCAGAAACACAAATCTACGAAAGCTTGCAGGAGAACCAGAAAATGACCAAACAAAAGAAGCAAGTCGAAAAGGAGCAGGCGCGTACCGAAAAACACACCGAAACCGAACTGAAACAATTAAATAAAATTATTATACTCAAAGATCAAGTAATACTCGCGCTCACCAACGAGTTGGCCAAACTGCGTAAAGAGCTCTCCGATTTGGCCATCTTCCAAGAATATGGCGAGGAACCATCGGGACGTTTCATACGTCTAAAGCAACAGCTAGACAATCTCACAGACATTTGTAATCGGACGCGTCGTCAGGCGCTCAAATCCGACATAACTGCGGCGCTGACAGCCAAAGAGAAGGTCATTGACGACACAAATCTGGAGTTGATCATGAACTGCTTGAAAATAGCACCGCCGCTCGTCGATACCGATGAAAGTGAGAATGAGATGCGCGAACGCAACGAGCAGTGTAATCAACGCGCAGCCGAGAAGCGTTTGGCCAAAATGTCTGCGGACATACAGAACTTTGTTTACGGCGCGCCGAATCTGCCCGACATTGCCGTAAATCATCAACATCACACTCAGCAGCAGCAGCAGCAGCAACAGCAGCATAAGCCACTCAAGTACACGCACTCGAATTCGAACACACTGGAGGAGTCCACACTGGATACGCTAATCGAAGAGTCGGCAAGCTATGCTGAGGAGATTGGCAAGCTGCGCAAACAGCTCGATGATGTGCGTGTCAATTTCGAGTTGGAGAAGCGTCAGTGGTGTGAGGAGCGTGAGAAGGTGTTGAATTACCAAAAACAATTGCAAGCGCACTACATAAATATGTATCAGAAGCTGCGTAGCTTGGAGGGGGGTTCCAATGAGGTTTAAACTGGAAGGACGCCGAAAATGTGGGGGAAAAATAGAGTAGTAAATTTTCGTTCATTTGCAAAGCGTTTGCAAATAGTTTAATTATTTTATATTGTTATTGTAATTTTAGGCACACTCATACGTATGTACATGTATGTATGTATTTTAAATATATATATATTTTTAGCATATTTAATTCAAAATATTTATTAAAAAATGTTATTGCACTCAAAAAGAATTTGCATAGATGCAAGCAAAGTGTAAATTATGCAACTGCTCATCTAATATGTATGTATGTATGAATATATTTAAGTGTACACATACACACACACATACGCATATCAAAATAAAAGTTAATTTTTCATAAATTTATTTCTTTTAATTATTTTCTACTGCTGCTTAGTAGGATCCTCATTCTTATAATACGACGAAAATCATTGTATACCTCAAGGCGTATGCTAGGTGGGTTGGCATTATTTTGCAGTTTCTTATTTTCCACCAAGCACGCATAAATGCAAGTTAAAACTTATTGTTAATGGTATACAAAAAAATAAGAGGGCCAGCTGCCCACGATTTAAACAACAAGTTACTTTTATTAATTACAAATTTATTTGAAACTAATAACTACACAATCACTGATAAAGGTATAGCTTAATTGTTAACAGAGTTTAGCTTAACAGAATAACACCCCAACTGCAACTGCCGCAACTCCAATATTTGCGGCCTTTTATAGGTTTATCTGCATAAGGGCGAGTTCGCCGTCCAGGTGTGAGTAGCATTGGCCGTGACTTCCCATGAGTACCGTATTACACTGCAATGTGCAGTGCAATCATTTTGCAACCGTGTGAAATACAAATTTGGTGACGTTGCGACACGTGTAGCCGCTTACTGTGGGAACAGTAAAATTGGGCAGCAGGCGGCCGTGTTAACTTGCATAGAATGTTGCCTGGTTGCGTTTCGGGTGTTGACGTGGTCACTTGTATTTGTGCGCTTGAAGTTGTAGCATACATTTAGGGACAATCAGCAATTTGCTGCTGAATCCGTGTAATGTGAATTTCTCTCCCTTCCTATACATTTAAGGGGAATATATTCTTAGATTATGTATAGAACGTGCCAACGTCTATGAGATATCTTTGCCAGAGAGCATCTATGGTTTGAAAATAATGGTTTCTCACATATGTATATGAGATGCAAAATGGCACAATTATTTTTAAAAATGTGTAGGAATGCCTTGGAGCGCTATCCGGTAGCAAGCAATGAAAATGTAGATTTATTGAAGTGTGCTTTGAGGCAATGATCTATAAAATTTGAGAATAAGCTTTCTAAGGCCACTAATTCAGCTTTTCTTCGTTCCCGAACTAAATTACCAAAATGAACCGTCTGGAATTAAAATACCATAATTCCTGTTCAATCTCGTTTTATAATCTCTATAGTCAAATCAGTTATCCATCAAGGATTAACTAATGCCTATCCGGTCTAAATTAAAAGACTTAATGAACTGTAAGCTAGAATCGAAATCTTCATATTTGAAAAAATAGCAAAAAGCAAAAATCGTCCGACAATATCTCTTATTTTTGGGTTTTCTCAGAATAAATCTTTACTGGAGTACAGAAACATATGAGCAGCAGTAACCATCAAATTATCTCTTATAGCAGTTGTAAGGCAGTTACGGCCTCTGAACATTTTTCGAAACATCGGTTTGAATACCACTGTATTGTGCTTCGAGTGATCTTTAAAATAAATAAATATATTTTCGGAGTCAATAAAAGCGAGTCAGCTGTTTCCACTTCCTCCAATGCCACTGGTTTGCTACCAACCTGTCGGCTGCAAAGCGCCATTAGTCCCTCACAAAACTTTTCTCCCGTAGACTCCTTGCGCTGAGCATTTAAAATATTAGGAATCATTAGGGACTTGAAATGATTGGTTATAGTTCAAAGAGATGGATTTTTCGGCTACCTACTCAATCTAAAATAACAATGTCAGCTGGTTTCGAGATAGACAAATTTATCTACTATAAGGTCGTGATAATTGTCAGAATGGACTTAAGAGTATCTTGAAACATATCGTCGGGTCCTCGATCAATTCTAAACTCTTTCACTTTACTGCTCTGCAGCGTATGGAGAAATGCAGTTGTTGAGGCTCGTAAAAGATTGTACCATCAACTGTTTGGAGAGGTCTATTTCGACGCTGGCGGATCACGTTTTTGCAGTGCTCAGGATCACTTCACACAGACGTATAAGTTTTTTTGATGGATTTGTCTGATCCGAAGTTGCACTGATAATCTCCAATTAGTTCGTTGAAGACGGTTGGTGCAAACTATGCACACCTACTGAAGTCTCACGCACGCTAAGGTCTCTCTCTTTTTCTGTCTACAAACCAAATCGTTTTCCTCTTCACTTGCCGGTTGCTCTCCCTAAAGGCGCGTTGCGATCAATCGCAAGTATGAAGTTTTCATCTATTCATTTTGGTACGACCAACGTCTTAGTACCACCTTCTCTTTGACTTTGTCGAGCCTTTCTTGCGTGATTGGCTGACATTTTTTGCTGCCCAGAAGCACTTGCGTGTCCTTCCTGTTGCCATATAGTGGTCCGAGTAGATATTAGGTTACTGTTGAACTCATCACAATCCGGTGACATGACACCAGAAGCTTAATGAATTTTTTCAACTAGAGCCTAGCACTACAGTCGAACATATTTCGGGCATCGGCGCCCGAATATTCCCATTGAGTTACCGAAGCTGCCATCCTTGTTCACTCAATCTTTTAACACACCAAGCACAGTTTCGACAATGTGACGATAGTTGCGTTCATAAGTACCTTTAAGGCATTTAAAAAAAAATGTGTCTTTGGTCAAATCGCAATTCGTCGAAATCTGAGTGCAAATGAGCAACATGTTTGAAGAACTTCATTCATCCACTTTGTTGTATACCAGTACTGTGTAACGGAGTCTCTCTCCTTTCGAAAATCCAAAATATCCGCTTCTTTAATATAGCCGTCGTGGACGTATTCGTTTCAGAATTCTTGGACGAAGCTGATGCCAACCTTTAATCTGCCGAGCATATCAAGCAGCTGTGTAGTGGCACCTTTTTGAAAGAGGAACTGAATATTCCGCCGGTCAAAACAGCATCCTTTAAAAGTTTGATCTGTCTTACGAGGCATGTAATTTATAACCGCTGAATCCAAGCTCTTTCTCCAGTTTTCAAGCTTATGGAGAGAACCACATTTTATTTTATTTGCCCTTGAGTGTTAGGAGCTCAAGAATTTATCCATGGTAAGGCTTGCCTGACTAAATTCCAATAGTTCTCGCGACAAGCCGATCTTAATACCGAAACGACCCGGATTTTTATCAAGCCAATGACTGTCACTCCCGCAATATTCCCCGAAAACCAATTTGGGAAACAACATTCAAAATCCAGCGCCTCTCGCGAGTTTGTTGAATTTTCATGAGGATTTTTTTTTTTTTGTGATTTCAGCACTACATTGAGGGGGAAGGGGTTGACATGTCCTATCGAGCGGCGACTGAATTTTGCATAATCTCGATTGTCTGCAGGGCAGGGTTGGAACCACTGATTTTTCGTATGGTGGTATGCAAGGCTAACCACTTGGCCAATGAAGCCACTGATTTTTACACTTTTGTAAGGCAAATACATTTTTAACTTTTCAAATATTTCAAACAATATATTTTTACTGCTAAATTCTAAGATTAAATATTTTTGTAAATACAATATTATTAATTATAAGCGATATTTACTAATAATGTGTTTGTTGTTGCAATACAAATGACTTTCAAACACTTTCTTTGACACTTTTAAAACCCAACGTTCTTCTCTCTCTCTCATCGCTCTCTTATGATTCTCTTCACGCGACTTATTGAACTTATGCATGAATTACCGTTATTGTATGGATTTAAATATAATTTTTGAAGGTGTTTTAGCGAAATTCTCCATACAATAATATTATATATATTTATATTTAACATACACATATATAAATAATTCAAATTAACAACTTAAGCAGCAAATTAAACTAAAACTTAGAGAAAAATCATTGTTATTACAGCAAAAAAGAACGGAAAAACTATTAATAAAAGCTTCTTTAAGTATATTGTTTTATAAATTAAGGACGAAAAAGTTTCGTTAGCTCGAACGCCACTCAAATGGCAGATTTTCTTATTGATTTTGCATTTCCCTCTTCTTTCGTTTTAGCGAATCGATAATTCTCTGCAACGAAATGCCTCTTTCTCTCGCGCGACTAACATTTATTCTAGTACTAATTTGAGTTTGAGAGCTTGACATTGTTGTTTTGATTACATTTAACTTCAGGGCACGCTCTTCGGTCCACTGTTGGCAGTCGTAGGGAAGACAAGTTAATGTAGATTATGAAGAAAATGCGTACGCGACTTACGATGCTAAGCCACCTGAACTACGCACAGGTGGAGCGCACGAAAATACAATTTTCCTCAATTAACCTTTCACACTCCTACACGAGTAGACAAGCACTTGTTTGCCTCAACCTTTACACCCTCTCTTCGATTCACACCTTTCCGCTCTTTACAACTATCGTAATAATTAATTAAATTTAACGCATTTCTCATTCGAACTCCTCAACGTAGGTCGCCGGGAAGATGCCCACATGATTGCCGAGCGCCCCAAGCCACCAGCCATCATCTTGTTTCGCATGCACTTCGATGATGTCGCCCGGCGTCAGCTCCAATTCGTCATACAATTTGGGTGTGTAGCTGTAGAGCGCTTTGCAACGGCTGAGTATAACCGGCGCACCATTCGCATTGCCATTCGCATGGGTTTGATGGCCATTTTGCACCTCTGTGGCATTTTGATAGATCGTGGGTGTGGCACCATTAGACATAGCTGTGGCCGTGCCATTCGCTAACATTGTGCTCTTCTCGATAATCGCCTTGTGTTCCTTGCGTCCGGTGCTCTGTGCGGTTGTTGTCGTCGTTTGTTCAACCTCATCATCGTCATCTTCATCCTGTGAACTGAATTCGTCAAAGTCTGAGTCCTGTTGATTTGAGCCGCCATCCGCTTGTCCGCGATCACTATACGGATCATCGATATGCGCCGGTATGGTCTTTGTCTTATCAATACTCGCTATGCACAGTTGTGTCTTATTACTGAGTGTCTCTATGTTGCTCTTACTGCGATTGAATTTGCGTATGAGCATGTCCTTGCTGAGATCCGTACAGCTGGCATTGGATATGTTGTTGTTCGATTGTGGTATGCATTCATATTCGTTCTCTTGCATGGATGAGTTGTCGTCTTGGCCAACACGGTCGTTGTTCTTCAGCCAAAGTGGCACTTTGAGTACGCTCTGCTGGAGGCCGGTGCGATCGCGTGTCACCTGGTTGGTGGTGAGGAGGAGAAAAAGGAAATTAGCTTTGGGAATAAAAAAAAATAAGTAAAGTTTCTACTAACCTGTATGTGCTGCGCTAGCGGATGTGATGATCTCGGTTTGTGGTCTAGTTCCAAGAGAGCTGAATGCAGTTTGAAACGAGCACCCTCCAAATAGGTCAGCATCGATCGTATCTAAAAAGTGAGAAGGGCATATTTTTTAGTGATTTGACAGAGTTTTCATATTAAATTGAGATGAGCTCAACTCTACGATCTACGGAAGAGTGATCTAAGAAGAAGAGAATATTACGCTCAAAACTAAAATTATCTAAGGAGAATAGAAGTTCCCTTTCAAGACCTTTGAGATTATTTACCAAGCCATGCCCGCTTTGACATCAACTGAGAGTGGAAAATTTATTATGCTAGACGGTTTATTTGGCTATCAGATATCGCACCATAGAGGAAAAGAGCCTTCGAGTCTTTTAGACTGAAAGTCAGAACTGTCGAAGCTGTAAGAACTTCTCACTCAGCACGACAGCCTACAGCTTGACCCAGCTCTCCTGACAGCCAATTCTACGCATCCGATTTGGTCCATATTTTATCCGGTCAAGAGCTGTCACTTTTTCGGCAACTAACCCTGGTTAGTTGGGCAGGTAATTTTAGTACACGTTCGTCAACGGAGCAACATCCTACAACAGGTTCCTCTAAACCCTTTCGGAATCCTTCTTAACAGGGCTGATATCGAATCCACCTCTTCATTTAGTCAAGATTTAAAGTCACCATCGGTTAACACCTGAGTCTTTCTATGAATCCTCGGCAGCATTACCGACTATGAGTAAACATCGTTCCCTGCGTATGAGGAGTCCAGAAATTTTTCCACGGTTGAGCAAGTCTCAAGTTTGTAAATTCCCGCGACAGTAGACCCTTTCTACCGGAACGACTCGGATTCCATTCCGGCGAAAGACTATCGCTTTTGCAACATTCGCCAAAAACTACTTTGCGGTATGTTTTTTGGCTGTAACAACAACAACACGAACAACATGCGTAAGCATCAACAGATCTTGAAGGCCCATTCATATTGCCGCTGCAAGGCTCCCATTACTCTGTACACCACAACGCCAGAAACATCCAGCTACCCAGCATCTCCTAGCGCCTTACAGTCACCGTTTTTCATGTCAGACCGAACTACGTCGGAATCTGATATCCGTCAGATGATATTCTTGCTCTGTGTGGTGCTTTTTTTAGATGTGCTCAGAACGGCGCACCTTTCGAGAATGGAGTAATGCATATTTATATTCCCCTCTGTTGTAGCAGTCTCACCTCGCCTACAAATACTACACCGCTGCCAGGCACCACCAACGTGCGGTGAACCTCCCAACGAGAAATTCTACTACAACACACAATACCCACACATCACTACCTCACCCGGCTGCATTACGAACGATCTCCTTACAGGTTAGGCTCATACAGTTAACAAACTTACGAGGGAAGATTAAGTAGGTGGTCCCTCTGACAAGTAGGGCGCACTTCTTGATAGCGGCAAACCAAGCAAACATCTCCTGATCTGTGCAGAGTACTGCGTTATACGTAAGGATCGCGAGAGAGATGATAGAAGTGAGGGTTGCACTAAACTATGCTACATCGTCTCCAGGGATATTATATACATTCGTCCCGTGATTGATTACTCCGGTGGGTTATCGTTCTAATATACGAAACTCCTAAACGAAACTCGATTCATTTCGGGAGACTTTAAAGCCACCACAACGATTTTTGGCCTTATAGCCTGTTATATGACACTTCGACATTAAGGCCGATTTCTAAAGATCGCTGGATCTCACAATCGCTGATCTTCTAAATAACTTCATGATCCATGCCGACTCGCACATTACATTATATACCACTAATTATATCAATCAAGCGTCCCTACTTCATTTCAGGGGATAGACTAACTTACGCCATCTTAAAAAACTGAATGGTCCGACTTCATGGAGTTTAAAACGAACACCTTCCCAACACACGAAGCTCTTTTCCGCGAGAAATTAACCGTCGTTGTGGCCACCTTTGGTGCGTCTCGGAAAATTCAAGGTCTAATAAAATTTCAGGGTGCGAATCCACATCGTCCGTTCTGGTCATATGAGCGATCGCCGTGCAAGATATTTCAATCAAAGTGAAGCCATGGGTTACTACGTATTTTTAGAATTAAAGGTATTACTTCAGCTAACTAGAGGAGTCTTTGGTCTTAACGGGAACAACTCGGTGTACTGCGGCTCACGGTGTGTCAACCTCACCTGTCGGCAGCGGGTAGACGAGGCCCAAAAATAATATAGACGTAAGAGACAAGTTTGAGCAAGACTCTTCTGTGTGCGGTAAAAATCTCAAGCTGAAGAGGGTATTCTAAAACTAAGATAGAACAATTGTCGCAACTTTACTCAAAAGAGAGACAACCGAAGATGTCATCGTACTCAGCCAAACCTACAAAAATATCTTCCTGTTCACCTACCTTGAAAAGAAGCCAAGACGCGGACTCAACACTTACATGGTACAATTTGTCAGTGATATTTTGATTTTCCTGATTATTCAACGACTGGGAGAGACCCTTTAGTCCATTTCTTGAGCGTCGCTCACGTTCCAAATCTGCTTTGACCAATTGCAACAGCTTGATGAGTGCATGCTTACGTCTCTCGCGATTCATGGCCAAAGTGGTGTGTTCACAATAGAAATCGGGTAATAGTTGTTCGCTGGGACCCTCTGAATTGCGACGTATATTCTTCACAACTTGCATATCCTTCAAAACATTACAAGCATCGACTTGTGGCTGCAAACGTTGCATGAGTCCATCCAAAATCGGATTCATATTCGACGTGAGTCGTGAATAGTTTGCAATGAAGTTTTTCATATTAACCAAGCGCTGATTTTCGATATTCTGTAGCAGTGAGGAGCCACGCAGCACAGCCATTTCCCAATCGACGCGTGCGCGTTCTGCACGTATGCAGAGTGTATAATATTCAACATCGGCACGTTTAACAGCCTCTTCGGCCTTCTTACGTTTGCTATCCAGCTTAGCGCAATCCTTCTCTGCCGATCGGATCTCTTTTTCGGCAGCCAATTTGTTGGGTCCTTGATGCAGTAGCGCAATCGAGGGAGATTTCTGTATTCGTACATCGAGTAAGGCATCTTGTAGCTTCTCATTCTCACGCGCCGCTGTGTGCGATGATTTCTTTGCCTTGGACTCGCTCACGCGCCACTCGGCTAGCGTGCGTGCAGCCTTGTCGACGTTGCTCTCAACCTGTTGTGGGAAGAGAGTGAAGTGTGTAAGAGTAAGTTTATACAGTAGCAAAGTGATAGCGTTGCGAGCCAACAGATACTCACCGACTTTCTGGTTTTGTGATGTGCATCGATTATATTTTTGAGTGGTTTTACAATTTCATCTGTGAGTGATGCCGACAACTGACGATGTATATCGCTGCGATTCTCCATTTCGGTAGCAACACCACGCCAGGCGTCGGCAATACTGCCGGGCAGCTCGCGACATGCTTTATTCAATTTGTTGGCCATTTTCGAGAGAGATTTCGAGTATAAAGTCTCAGACTCGACTCTGTGCAGGGTGTGGGAGAGAAAGCGGAAGAGAGAGTTTGTTGAAAAATTTGTATGAAAGAGTTGAGCGGTGAAGAGGAAGATACTTACCTTTCTTGTAGTATCATTATAAGCTCCTTGCCAAAGTCACCACCTTGTTTCACGTAGCGTCGCAATTCTTCGAAGCCATTTTGGCCCTGAAAAGAGAAAATGAGGCATTAATAGGTTTACAAACGAAGTAATTTAAGAAACATTCTCTTTTAAACACTTGGAAACCACAGTAATTCTCTCTCTCTTTGTAAACTCAATATCGGATTCTCAAGAATTTTTCAACACCAAGACAGAGATTTCTCACCTGTTCATCTTCAGTTTGTATTTTTTTTATATATATTTTCCTTAAATCTACTTGAAAACTTTGTCACCCTCCAACCCCTGCCCTCTACTTACCTCAAATATCTTAGCAGCCGTTGCTGACTCATCAACCGGTCGCTGTATAAATGATGACTCTAAATCTTCTTCATTTTGTGTAGTGTTTCCATTAACACCACCAACACCACCACCACCACCATTGTCATCACCGCCACCACTCCCATCGACCAAATCATTCGTACTCACACCAAAACTTGTCGTTGGACTGGTTATGGTGCCAGTCGTGATGACAGAAGATTGTTGTACGCTCGTACTAACAACACTTGGGTCACTATCGCGCACAATCGATAGCCCCAGCCGACTATCACCGCCCCGCAACAATACACTACCATGCACCGACGGCGACTGACGACACTCAGAGTTGTTCAAACTGAGTTTCGATGTGGCCACACGCTGTAGGTTCGCTTGCTTCTGCACCACCTCCTTCAGCTTAGTGCTCTCTTCGCCAATCCAGTGTTTCACGCCATGCCAACTCTTCTTAATCTTATCCCTATTGTGGTAGAAATTGATTAGGCGCGAGTTTTTATTCTTCAGCAACGTAATACGACGCTCACTGGGCTTCAGATTATCGCGATGCTGGCAATATTCCAAATCGATGATCTCTTGATTGAACTCCTCCGATTCGTTGATCTGGCGCGTGATCTCGTTGAGCTCGTCAATGGACACAAAGAGGCTTTGCGGATGCAGACTTTGGCAACTAACAGATTTTAGATCGAGTTCTTCGATGGTGCTGGCGTGACTTGTCAGACTGTTCTTAGAGCCGCGCTGATTGATAGAAGTATTGCTGGAGAAGACCACACTGCGACGTTTGCCATTCGAATTATGCATGTCCAGTGAGTCCACGCTCTTGAAATGCATTTGTTGTGAAAGATAGCCGGTCACCTTTTGCTCAGCGCACATAGGCGTATTCGGGTCACTTTTGCATTGTGGCGGCGGCGACAATTCTGTCGAGGGCGTGGAGTTCTCCTTATCAGCATCGTTATCCTCATAATCGCTTGGGGCGAGACTGCATTTACTAACGCCGTAAAGCTCCGGCAGACGTGGTAAATCGCGAAAATTATCTACTTCAACAGCAGGTAAACTCGTATTCAAAGTCATGGATGGCGTCTTCTCGAGGTAAATCTTCATTTCTGCACGGTGTAAATTCTGTGCGGACTTCGAGTGCTGGCGACGACGTAATTTCGGTGGTGGCGTCGGTATACGTGGCTTCGTGGGTGACAACACTCTTTCAGCGACGACGGCACTGAGCATGGAAGCAACAACACGCTTTTCCGCACTTGAGCTGCTCGCTGGTGATTCCGCCGATGTGGTGGACACATCATGCAAGTCAAATTCTGGCACAGGGAAGATGGGCAATTGTAAATAAGGACGATTTTTGGCAAAGGTGGCTGCTGCTGCTGCAGCTGCTGCAGCGGCATTGTCAATTTCCGTCGGCGCTTCCGCATCGGACAACTTCTTTGGTGTGCTCAACGCCAGCTCGTACTTCTCCTCCTCCTCCTCACCAGCCGCCTCTGCAGATTCATCCGCAGTCACCGGTGGCGTACTCAAAGCATCTGCAAACACCTCAGTCTCACTGCCCGATGAGGGCATTTGCGGTGAAGAGTGTATATTGATGGTGCGCACCATTGTGCTGGTCACAGCTATGCCACCACCAATTTGTCGTAGGCGCTCCTCACTCACATCGAAACGGTCCGCATCCAGCGTGGTTGTCGATATCAGCACTGGCGCACCAATCTCCAATCGATGATCATCCGAATGCGCACCGGTCATATCGTAACTGCCTGAGGCGACTTTCTGCGGTGCACTGCCTTTGCGACCGGCATTATGGCGACGCGTGATGCGATGACTGAGCGTGGAGTAACGCTTCGTTAGCTTATTGAATAGGCCGCTGCTCTGTTGTGGTAGTGTGTTGTTGCCATCGTTGTCGTTGCTACCAGCAATGCCGTTCTCAGTGTTGTTGTCTGTATTTAGTTTGAATTTTTGCGTGCGTAAACGATTCATTATGCTCACTTTTCAGCGCCGCGCTGCCTCTGCTGCTGTCTCAGGCACTTAATGCGCATTAATACGCGGCTTAAAATGTCCACTTTGGCCGGATTGTGCTCATTAACCTTTGAAATGGGTAGCATTTTAGTTAAAACATTTTATACTTATTTTATTTTTTTTTGGTTTATTATTTACTATTTTTATTTGCTTTTTTCTTTTTAGTAAATGTGATGTGCAGAAAGTTTGAAGTTTAAGGCAAGTTGTTGTTTTGACGCCAATGAAACTTTGTTTTTGTCTATTTACAAATGTACTTAGTCGTAATTAATTGCTTACGTTCGGAAAAAATATGTTAAAATGTTTAGTTGTATTCGATAAAAATCCAACAACAACAAAAGCTGATAACAAAAAGGCTTAATTTTAATTCATGCTTTTATTGATGTAACTCATGATCTCACCCAACCAAAAATATTACTGATTTCCTAGCAAAAACTGCTATCACTTAACATGAAAATTAAGTTCTTATACTTAAAGGAAACCTACAGTGAAGAGAAAGAAATTAGCAGTGTTTAGTGAGAGCTGTGAGCAAAGCACATATACATGGGTTAAAGCAGTTGGGAGATAGAACTTCTGCGTTGCATTGCCTGACGGCGTGACTTTGACGTCTAAGATGGAAGCAAGCAACCGAACGAGACTTCTTAATGATCAGTGTTCACGTCAACGCAAAGCAAAGTGTCAACAATTCCATAATTTTTTGCGCCCGTTGCGCGTTAACACATTTTAATTTCCATTTTCTCTCTTAAAATTTCCGCAAATTCCATAGACTTGAAATGAAAACAAGTTCAATTATAACTTAATGTGTCAGATTTTTCAGTTCAGGGGCACACCTAGTGTAATGGCCTAAAAAAAGGTGATTGTTGTGAATTTTTATTAAAAAAAAAATACTTTATCAATTATTTCAAAATTTTAAGAATATATTTATACATGTTTCAAGAATATACAGTGAAATTTTCGGAGAAAAAAATTAAATATGTTTTAAGTTATAGTCGATCTCCAACCGCACGAAAAAAGGTCCTTCACTGCTGCAGTGATTCCGGCCTTCTCCGTGGATGCAATATAAAAAAAATCAATTCTCTACTAGATGATATTGTCTGTACAATGACCTACGATAAAAAAAATCAATCTTACCCAAAATTTTGGAGGTTTTTTGCCTGTCAAAATTCGATTTTTTGATCAGTTCAAAAATCGATAGGTCATTGTACAGGGAAATATGTATAGAACATGTAAAAAAAAATTCGATAGTTATCGAATCATTTGTTTTTGAGTAATCACTGCATCAAAAGCGGAAAATGCTGTTTCGAGAAAAACGCGTTTAAAGATAAAATGATCGTTTTCCCTCGCAGCTATTGAGACTCTCTAGCTGCCGAGCGGCTGCTCTTTAAATTGCTACAACTCAAAAACTATTTGAGATATCGATTTGAAATTTTACTATGTTATTTTAATTGGTTTAGAATATTGCAAATATAATTTACTAAGACTTTAATTGTCCCCAGTAAAAGATTTTGGGTCAAAGCGTTCCTGCGGCGTGGCATACGTATGTAATGTAATGCGCATATGTAAGAGGAGAAATCAACAACATTTGGTGAGTGGCGGAATAATTTATTGACAGCACTCAATCAGTTGCAACTTCTAAGATATTTAACAGTTCAGAAAGTAGACAAAAGGGAGTTCAAAACAAAAAAAAAATATTTCTATACAAATAACCATTTCGTGGTTCAAATTTAATTGTCAAAGCAAACACGTAAACATAAAACTCTTGAATAAAAATTTCGGAGATCTAGCCTTGGGAAGGTGTGTGTTCGAAAGCAGGTAGGCTCAGTGTTTCAAACTTTAAACTGTGTTTTAAAAGTCGGTTGTTAGACGTTATCAAAAACTACTTGATTTTCGAGATACAATTCACGAGGAATTGAACGAAAGATAGCTGCAATTAAAACTACGAAATACATGCACACAATCGCGGATACACTGAGGTCAAGAAGAGTTGTTAATTATCTAGGTGTAAGACTAGACCCTATATTGAGCAACTGGGCCAAAACTATTATACCGCAGTCAAAGCCTCCAACGTCACTTCTCAGCTTAGTAGACTAAGGGCTAACATAGAAGGTCCAACTCAAGAGAAAATGAAGCTTATCATGGTGGTTACCCTTAACATCTTACTGCATGGAGCCAAGCTATAGGCGGACTCACTTAAGAAGAATAATAGGCGAATAGTACTGGCCAAAGCATACCGCACGGCGGCTTTAAAGGTAGCGTCGGCAAACCTTACAGTATCAAGAGAAACTATAGCTGTAATAAGCGGAAGCGTTCCCATCGACCTATTGGCAGCCGAAAAGAAAAGAAACTGGACGCTCAAAAAATTGAAGAACCAAGGATGAACTGTCAATACAATCAGAGAGTACATAAGGAAAGAAACCCCGATACAGTGGTAAACCCGATGGGAATAAGGAAGTCATGACCGATGGACGGCCAGATTAATAGCAGACGTCAAAATATGGACAACTAGGAAATTCGGAGAAGTAGACTACTACATTACCCAGATGCTGTCTGGTCACGAATATTTCAGAATATACCTTCATAAAATAGGGAAAGCTGCGCTCGCTGGCAAAAGGCGAGAATCAAACTTGAAAACACAGTTGGAACTAAGAGTAGATAATATTGTCTCAATTATGCTACAAAGCAAAACAAACTGGGTAAATTTAATGGAGTTCACAGAAAAAGTATTACGAGCGAAAAAGCTGGACGCAGGTGGCAGGTGGCGGTTCCAGGGTGAGCGACAGTTCCCTAGAGAAAGTCGCCTAAATTGACGTCAAAGTGGGAGAGCTATGAATATTTTGCTTCAAAAATTGAAGAAACTCTCTTTTAAATATATTTCTGTAACACAGTAGATATTTTGAATAGAACATTTTATATGTTACATAAAAAAATTCCTAAGAGTAGATAATTTTCCTCCGAATATATCCACGTAACTCCATAATTTGCAATTCTCAAAACAAAACTAGTTCGGAAGCAATAATGTAAAGCTATTTTTAAGACAAATTAGGTTGCAATAAGGAACTCACTCTGCGATTTCTGCTAATACTCGGTAGAAAAGTACTTTGAATACATAAAATATTTCTCAACAAAAGCTTAGCTTATGACCCATTTGCACTGTGAGATTTTTTTAAAATGTAATCTCGAGATATAAATAAGAAAGACTAAATTATTAAAAAAATATCAGATTATTTCGTAATAAAGCATTGGCATCGCACCGAGCACGATTTCAGAGACTTTCAGAAACCTACTGCAAACTAACAGGCCCCTTTTTTGGCTCCAAAAAAGGAACATCGAAAGCTCGCACTTGCCAGAGAGATAAATGGTGGGTAGATAAGCTACCGGCTCTCCACCGTGGTTGACAAATATTGAATAATTTTTATAATTTAAACTTTTCGAAATATGCATAGGAAGATGATGGAGAATTAATGTAATTAACGAGAATATAGAAATACTACAGTATGAGGTGTGATAACCAGCGAAATAAAAATAAAAATAAAAAACATTATAATTTTTTTTACCAAAAGCCATGCTTCATGCAACAAACCATTTAAGTTCAGCATAAACATACCTCAAACACGTCGAAGAAAATTTAAAAAAAAAAAAAAACATTACAAAAATGTCGTATTCTGCTTCAACGAACTTTCCATAAAAGAATTCTTTGCGCTTCGCGTATTAAAAAAAAAATGAAATTACTGAACCAAATTCGCTTTATTTAGAAGCCTTATTGGGAAATATGCAAATAACTTTAGCTCTTTCACCTTCCCTTCAATCGAAGTGACACATATTTTTCGCTTGCACATACAACAGAAGGCTTAAACCGGTGAGCGTATGCGTTTATAAGTACATATGTATGTATGTATGTGTTACTCAATGACGGTGAGTGCTCTGAAACACCTTCAACCCGACAAATTCCGCACGAACTAGCAAAGTGACCGCCGACAATGCGCTTTTTAGAACACTTTACCATAAAAAAATAATAATAAAAAATAAAACAAAATAAAAAAAGAAGATTTGCCCTAAAAGCGGTGACCGAATATCACTTGAGCATTAGTAAATAGTGGTTGCCGCTGTTGTTGTTGCTGTTGTTGAGTACAGCTTATGCAGATGATTAAAGAAGAGCAAAGAACAGGTAAATACTTGAAACACCAACAAGAAGCCAACTGTTAGCAATGTGAAATTTATATTTGTTGTTGCAGCAATGGCGTTGCTGTTAATGGTAGCAGTAGCAATTGTTGTTGTTGTTGTAGAGGTCGATATTGTTGTTGTTGTTGCGGCGGTTGCGCCACTTTGGTGTTGGCACTTTAACCTTTTCTGTTGGCTGCGATAATAATGCATTGGCTCAATTTGTTTGTGTAATTAACGTAGGTACAAAAAACAAAAACAAAGAATTTAAAGCTGAATTTTTAGTGCTGAAGATTATTTATTTTTAATTTTATTTTCCTTATTTTTTTTTTTTTTATTGTCGTTTTTTTTATTTTTTACTTTTTCTATTTTTTTTTAGTTTATTTTTTTCGTTTAATTTTTTTTTTAATCTTTTGTTTTTATTTTTTTATTTCTTGTTGTTTACTTAATTTATTTCTAATTCTTTGTATTTCTATTTCAGTTTTATTCCTTCATTATTGTTTCTTATGTTTATTGTGCACCAAAATACCGTTATACCTAAGTGGCAAGTTCAGTTTTTGCATATTTTCATTACTTTTTTGTTGTTGCGCCGGTTTGTGTTTTCTATTAGTTTTGCGGTAAAATAAAAAATAAATTAGCATTAACTATTGTTATTATTGTTTTATTGTATTTTTGCCTCTTCTTTGCTATTTTGTTTTTATCTCCTCACTTTCAATATGCTTCACGTTTGTGCAGTTAGTTGGTAGTTGGTTTCGGTAGCGACAGTTGGTTTGTTACATTTTGAGTTTAAACATTTTACTGCTTCTTCTATGCGTTGTTGCTTGTGGTTTATGTTTTATTTACAGTTTTTGTTTTTATTTTGATTTCTTCACCATTTGTTTGACGGTGTCTTTGTACCAAACGAAATTTTCACCCTTTTTCAATGCTCAAAAGGAAAGGAGAAAAAGTTGGTGAGGTGCTATAGCAGTACATGCCAACACATACATATATATTGTAGATCTATGTATATAATACTCGTACGTGTTCTAATTGCACTCGTACGGTATAAGCCGCAAGGAGAATGTGTAAAAAATATTTTCATATTTTTGTTAAATATTTCGGAAAAAGCTTTTCCACATAAAAGCTATTAGGCAATGTAATTATTTTTTAACTAAAAGACCAATGATTTTTTGTTGTATCAATTAAGATTGAAATTCAATTTTTCTAACATTTTATTTGGAGCTCGATGGTACACAAAATATATATCTAAAATTCTAATAATACCCGTCTGACAAGAATTCCGATTGTACAAAACTCCAGTCAACCCAATTTTCACTACTCTCGCACCACTCGTTCATTTTTTTTGTAAGAAATATATTTCACCATGGCTCATATTATATATACAAAGATACGTTTAAATATATGTACATACTAATGCATCTTTGCTGTCCTCTATCATACTACTCACACCAAACAGCAAGCGTTTTAAACCCTTTGGCCATCGCTTATCGGCTTAGCCTGGTTTTCCTTAAGTTACAAATACTAAATCACTACCATTAATCCATTAATTTAATTTGTGGAAACCCTATAAAAAAATTGAGTGCACTTTTCAATTAAGTAGTTTTCATTGGAAATTGGTAAAGAATAAGATTAAGGGAAATGCTAATAGAACAAGCTAATAAAATCGATTAAAGGTCACTTGGGTGAATGTGGATGTTGGCACTTGTGGATATGTATGTACATGTGTTTAAGAAATTTTAAACACTTTGAATAATATTAAATTAATTAACATAAAAAAATAAAATAAATTAATATTAAATTAAAGCAAAACAAAATTTTAAATTAAATTAGATAAAATAAAATAAAATGAAATCAAATAAAATAAAATAAAATAAAATAAAATAAAATAAAATTAAAAAAAAAATAAAATAAAATAAAATAGAATATAATGAAATAAAATAAAATTAAAAAAAAAATTAAATAAAATAAAATAGAATAAAATAAAACAAAACAAAATGACAATAAATTAAATTAAATTAAGTGAAAACTAAAAAATATGATAAAAAAATAATCTAAATAACTTACACTAAAATTAAATGAATATAAAAAATATATAAAAATAAACAAAATAAAACAAAAAAACCATTAAATAAAATTAAAAAAAAGAAATAAAACAATATATAGCAAAAACAGTATAAAATAATTTAAAAAAAATATATATAGAAAAAATTTGCTTACAATAATTAAATAAACCCAAATAAAATTAAACCAAAAAAAACTAAAAAAAAATAATAATTAAAACACCATTACATAGTATTATATGTATATTGAATTAAAATATAATAATATAAAATAAAATAAAATAAAATAAAATAAAATAAAATAAAACAAAATATAATAAAATAAAATAAAATTAAAAAAAATAAAATAAAATAAAATAAAACAAAATGACAATAAATTAAATTAAATTAAGTAAAAACTAAAAATATGATAAAAAAGTAATCTAAATAACTTACACTAAAATTAAATGAATATAAAATATAAACAAAAATAAACAAAATAAATAAAACAATATATAGCAAAAACAGTATAAAATAATTTAAAAAAATATATATAGCAAAAAACAGTATACAATAATAAAATAAACCCAAATAAAATTAAACCAAAAAAAAAAAAACAAAAAAAAAATAATAATTAAAATATAATAATATAAAATGAAAAAAAAAAAATAAAATGCAACAAAACAAGTTAGATTGAACCAAAGGAAAATAAATTAAAAAGTTTAATAAAATAAAAGTACTTTTGCTAGAAACATTTTCATTGTTGTAGCAAAATAGTTTTAAAAGCAAAGTATATATGATCTGCGCTGTTAAAGTTTGCGTTGATATATTTTAAGCCAGGTTTTTTTCTATTTGATTTATAATTCGTAAATCGAAGAGAACTAAAAATTTTTCTACATGTATAATATTTTTCGTAATGAAAATACTGGATGTAAATATTTATAGTCACTAATTTAAATTCTCCAGCTTTTTCCATTGATTCTCGAATTATCCTCTGCTGCAAATACCGTCACCGGAATTCACCGATAACATACTAACCTTATAATTTCACTTTTTTGCAATCAATGAAACTGCAGCTCGACAACAACATAAAATAATGACACTGTTACTATAATTTGTAAATCAACCCAACAGGAAAAATATATATGTATACAAAATGACGAAAAAAGAATCTTTTTGCAAAAGGAGGATAAGGGAAAAAGGTGACTTTTGGAAAATATAAGCTTTTAAGCGAATCTAAGAAATATTTTAGTTTTAAAAAATTAACAAATTATGTACAAACATTTATTATTTATGAATACAATAAAACAATTCGAAAACATTTTTTTTTTTCAAAAAATATTAATTTAATCATTGTTAGGGGATCAGAACTAAATTTAATAATAGATTGTACATACATAAATAATAAAAGAACTATTTTAACTGCACATTTTAGCATTAAAAAATTATGAAATTAAATAAAAATATTTATTATTGTATTTATAAAAAAAGAATAAAAGTTGAAAACATAATTTTTTTCTTTCAAAATTTTTTATTTAATCAATGTTGGGGAACCAGAACTAAATTTCACACAATTTCAAACTGAATTTTTTGACTTTTACTCATTTTCATTCTCATATTATTTTATTAAATTGAATCATAAAAAGTGATCAGATATTTCACATAAAATTATGTAAACTCTGTGCAGTAGTAATAGCTTTTATTCGAGCATATTTGGAATGGGGAAAACTTTCACATTGGGTATAAATATATATATTTAATCAATCTATAGCAACATATGTGTATTATATAGAAAAATTTTCCATCTTAATAATGACTGAATGCATTGCCACAAATAAACCTAAATTATGTTGTGAGTATTTTTAGTAGCAAATAAAATGGAATACATAAAAATTAATGTACATTCGTACATATACACAACACATAAATGCCGGCGCAATAAAACGCTGCAGCCTCGATATGGGCGAATCCAATCAAAATGAAGCAATCGCGCTGAAATTACCCGCCGGCTCATAGTTAACTTGTGTACTTAACTACTAAACTATATACTAAAGAGCACAAAAGTTCAAGATTCAAGTAACAAGCAACAAGAAGGCTGATGAAATGCAATCGAAGGCCAATCGACGAACGGGCGGCAAAAACCAATTGAAGCACAAACACCTCTACAAGGAACTATAATTTCAGATGGTGGAGGAAGTGGGAGACACGGAGAGAGGAATATTTATTTGAACATAAGTATTAGTGTGTCCCTACGAAAATTGTAATAGTAGGAAATCCACAAAAAATAAAAAGTATTTTAAAATTTATTTTGCTCAATATGCAAGGCAATTAATAAGTTTTTTGTTCAGACACATTTAATTAAGTTAAAACATTATTTTTGACAACTGATAATGTTTTCATTTTATGTATGCGAAATTTATTTTTTGAATCAAAATAAATGTGGTTTCAAGTGGAGGTTTCTAAATTTTAAAATCGAATTAATTTTTGTTGAAGAAGCTCACCTCTCATTTTTCTATATCTGCTAGCTTTTCCGCAGCTCAAGAAAAGCCTTAGCCGGCTGCTTCTAAAATTTAAATTGCCACTTAATTTTTTTCTGATATATCTTATCATTACAACATTTTTTCAATTTACAGACGCTTCGAACTTTTTAACGTACTTTACAGGTCCCATAAGCGATTCTACGGCATGAGAGTTGCTAATTGTAGCTAATTGAAAGTCTGTGTGAACAGTCCTCCAAATTGTTATTATTTTTTTTAGACTTATTGTACTTAGATTTTCATAAGAAGGGGAATATTGATGATTTCTTTTCAGAAATATATTTCAGAATATAAAAATATAATATTTGGGGCTTAACGTATTAATAATTTATTGTGGAACTGCGTAGCAAGGTAGAACGTATCAGTATGACTAAAATTAAGCATTAATTTTAGCTTCTTATTAAATTTTTATAATCAAATTTTGTTACAATTAGTTTATTGTGAGTCTATGTGAACATTAAGACTATTTTTGTATTTTCTTTGGAACTGCAAGGAAGATGCATTAGCAGTTTTAAGATATAAGTTTCTAATTGCCTGCTAAGTGCATGAGTTTTTATAAGCTTATTATGTTACAATCAACTAATGAGTCTGTGGGAACAGTCTTAATTTTTTTTTTTTTTTTTTTTTTTGAATTTGATTGATTGAGCGGTTACACGTGTCGATAAAGCAGACTCTTTGGATGAATATATTTTCTTTTTCTTCATATTTATGAAAATAATAAACTT